CATTAAACTCTTTTCATATATAGATCGTATGGGAATCATTCCAATGTGGAATGATATGTGCCTAGTGGACATTTATACCACAAACTCTATAATTAGGGAAGCAAAATATTCCTGGTTCTTATGACAAGAAGAGGGAATATTTTGGCCATTGTTGATGCGATGCAATGATCGTTTGGCCTTTTGCCACTATCATTCTTCCTTAGATACTGAGTTAGCAATTGAGGATATTTAATTATGTCCCAACTCAACTCATATCTTACTAAATTATAGAGATATCCAAATGTGTTTTCGTATGAAAACATAAAAGGACAACATTGGATATGGCATATAAGTAATAAGATAAGTTTCGTTTTGGTTGTATTATGCATACAACCATCCTCGTACAATATGTTGCGTACAAGATAATTTTTCACACTGTTGATGCATTCTGGATTTGAAATGAACAATCGCCATTATGGGATGGGGTGAAAAAATTATTGGCAATTCTTTTGGTCATGATTTTCCCAAAAGTGTGGATACGATAAGTGCCATAGGGAAATAGATTTTAAGACCCTCTTATCTTAAAATCAGATTGAGTGTCTTAGATTCCTTGATCATATTCAAGGGAATATGTACAAGGTTTTTTTTATCGGCCGTAATTCATGGAAATTTTAAAATTTCCATTCTATCCACAGGGTCCGATAAAATTTGACATCGGCCAAATTTTTCCCTTCTTTCTTGCTCCCACACAGACAACCCAAATTCAGCCGTGCGACGGTCCCACACTATAATGTTTTATTCTTGTTTTTATCTGTGAACAGGTGATGTTTAATAGCTTAGGAATGGTTTCAAGTCAAATTCTATGATTTTTTTTTTCAAAACAATTTGAATTTTTTTCAATTTGGTCCGATATTTCCGATATATCTTGCTTATCCTATTTATCCATGACCTCTGATAAATTTTTATTTCCGATAATGAAAACCTTGAATATGTATGGGTCTGATACAATGATTGTATGGACAGTTCATGTATTTCATGGTTGTGAAGATACATCTATAAGATGATCTAGAGTGTGTGAACTATCCACACTTAGTCATGCATTTGGTAAATAATGGCTCATGTTGTGAGCTCATTATCCTGAACACTACTGAATTTTTGTGCCTACAATGACGATTGCTTGGTATAAAAGAATTTTGTTAAATATCCAAAGGGATAAATGAAATCTATGATGTATAACAAGGTCATAGCAGAACCATTATTAGTGAATTGATATTTGCCAACTTCGTTTTGGGGTCAGGTAGATTTACACACTCCTGATTTGATATTAACGACATATCCCCTATATGCATTTAGTACGTGGGAATCCATAAAGATTTCCTATTTGCGTAAGATTGGGTTACGTTGTATACGTACCAATCTCACCACTGCAACGTAAATTGATGGGCACACACAGGAAACTAGGGATCAATATAAGATTTCAATCTCCGTCGATTGTTAAGTATCTGGGACCTCTTATGAAGGATCTATTTACGACTTCATACATTGGTTGTAGTTTGATAATGAGCATTTGCAGGCATTAGTGGGAGATTTGATGTACCATACATAGTGCCAGGAAATTATTTGGAATGCATAAGGCATTTCAAGCTCAGGATCACATATTAAATGTTGAGTTTAAAGAATTGTTGATTTGCATAGTATTGCAAATAAACAGCCAAATGCATTTACTGATTACTAAGGTATCTTTTAAACCTGTTAATCCGTTGCAAGTATATACCAGAAAGAGTGTTGGTACCAAGTAAAACCACTCAACTCCCAATTGTAAATAAGAGGGGAGAAGTATGGCCATAAAGTAGGATTATTCATGCTAGCAATAGAAGGCTTTCCTTCTAAGATAGTAAATGCAGGTCAACATATGGTTGGCGACACCTTGTGGGTAAATATTGATTATTACCTAGTGGATGGATGCCATCCACAAACCTAGCTCAGAGGTGCACCTAAATACTAATGTTAGGATATAAAAAACCCTGACTCTTATTTTTTGGAAATTCACGATGAGTCATTCAGGGTATTTTGAGTTTTGATAACCGGAGAATTATATCATAGAAAGGCTACATGTGTCGACATATACTTCTCTGAATAAAATTGCATACAACATTCCAAGTCATCGAGTCAATAAGACCATGGCAGAGTGATTTGCTCACTCTTACTGGAACTTGTTGAGTGATGTAATACATACAGAGATAGTCTTGCTCACCAGAAAAGAGGTGTTTTGGGCTGTGATGCCAACACCTCATGGTACATTTACTGTGGGTACAAAAATGTTTTCATCCTAAAATGGATTGAGAACAATGTGGTGGTGAGATCAAAGTAAGACTAGTAGCACAAGCGGTTTACGCAAAGTCCAGGTATTGATTTTCAATGCAAATTATTTTCCATAGTAAGTTATAAATTTCCGATACTATCTTTTAATTGGCAGTACAAAAGCATTTATCATTGCAGTCGATAGTTAATAGATGTAGTGATTGCATATATTTATATGATCACTTGATTTGGTGTATTTGTGAAGCTTCTAGGAAGAAATTCACATACCCAACCCTCATACATAAAATCACAACGCATATTGTGTATTGCTTAAGTCAATATATGGCTTAAAGCAATTAAGTCGAATTTGGTACAATCGACTTTGTGTGTATTCCCTAAATTGAAGGGATACAAGATTGATTACACGTGGTGTTCATTTTGAAGTCCTTGATTGGATTTCATAGTGTTATATGATAGTCAATAATCTTGACATCATTAGTGATGAACACATGTTAATAGCACGTTGTAATCTAAAGACGGAGTTTGAGATGGAAGATACGGACTAAACCAAAATTTCATTTTGTGTTTATGATACAAGCATCTTCTCTCAGAATTTTGTACAAAAGCTATCTATATCCAAATCATATTGAGTGATTCAATATGAAAGTATCCTATGGTTGTTCTACCTCATGATAGAGGAAGCTTATTTTATGCCATAGTGACTGAGATGAGATATTGGGACATGTGATCCATTATCTCTGTGCTATTTATGCACTTATAAATCTAGCAAAAGTTCTCGACCGGATATTATTGTTGCAACGATTTGCTATCTAGTAGCAACGCTACTCATACCAAATATTGGTGGATTAAAGTTAAGAATATCTTTTGATATCTCAAATAGCACATGTGGTCTTGTGTAATCCATGATCCGATTATGTGGATATAATGATTCTGGTTATCTATAAGATCCCCAAACTCTAGATCATTGAAATATGCTTTACATGAATTTGGAAAGACCATTTTGTAATAGTCTTTAAATAGACATTTAATGGTCAATTCAATTAATCATTCTGACATTGTATTTTACAAGGCTTCATATGAATGTGTATAGCTTGACAGAATGATATATCACATACTGAAGTTATGTGGTGTTGATTCTATAAATCAATGGTCATTATTTATAAAAGTAATGCAACTTGTGTTGTGTAGATTGAGACAAGTTATACTTAATGTAATATTTTGCACTAAGATGGTTCTGTTCCATAGGTAATATGTGCATATGAACATTTACAAACTAAGACTTGTGATAATCTTGTAGAGATATTCAGAGTTTACACCATACTCCACATTTATTATGTGTTGAGGGCATTGGTATGAATTTACTTTGAGGTTTGCTAGTATTAGAGTGAGAGTATCTCTGATTAATAACTTGCTGCAAACATCATATTGCACTCTTTTCTTTGTATGAGTTTTCCCTTGGGGTTTCTCATTTAAGTTTTTTAATGAGGCAATATCAACACAATGTTATGTCATATCATCCACTTTTCCCCATAGGGGTTTTTGGTGAATAATATTGGGACATAAGATGTATTATACTCTTTTTTATGTGAGTTTTTCATTTATGGTTTCTCATATAAAGTTTTTTATGAAACAATGTCAACACAAAGGCATATGCTATATCATCAAGTTTTCTCCACCGGGGTTTTTTGGAAGATGATATCTGAAGCATATTAACCCTTTGGTCAAGGTGTTTTTAGACTAAGGCTTTTGGTTTATCTCAAATGGTTTAATAACATTGGTGATTGTATATCATGGTTTTTCTCCATATTTTTTCCACTGGGTTTTAAGGATTTTTAACTGGTATACCAATATTACTTTGGTTTTTTTCATAGGGTTTTCCAAAGATTCATAAAGATGCATAATAGATGAACAATAAAGACTACATGAGCTAATTGAACAAGGGATGAGTGTTGAGAATTATTATTGAGTGCTCAATTAGGGATTAATCGAAGGGGTGTCTTTTCACTCCTCTCTCTCTTTCACACTTGTAACCGCCCACATGAACATGAACATATATATATATATATATATATATATATATATATATATATATACTGTTCATTGAAAAGATAATAGAGATCATTTGCATCTCTCATCTGTGTCTCACTAGCTACTTTTCTAACAGATTCGACCTCTATCCGTGTCCGATGTGTCGTGTTGACTCTGTTCGTTTGTGTTATGAGTCGTATTGTTTCAGCCGAAGGAACAATATTTTTCGCTAACATTGTTTTCAAGGCCATAAGGCCATAAGTATTACTGGCCGGCGCTCATCGGCTCGTCTCCATCCAAATTCATTCACGTCCGTTTCGCCTCCGTCGAGCTCGTAGACGAGGTGATCGCACTCGACAAAGCATGGCGCTGTCTTCGGTTCTCTCTTGACAAGCTCCGACGGGAGCTCAACGCCGCCGCCAAGAAGATTGGAAAGCTTAAAGTAGCAGGCAAGGAAGAAGATGAGGAGGAGGCGAAGAAGCTGGTGGAGGGCACGAACGACATCAAGAAGAGACAAGCTGCCATGGAGGCCGAGGAGCAGAAGACGAAGTCCGCGCTCGGCGGCAAGCTGATGGCCATCGGCAACATCCTGCACGAGTCCGTGCCCGTCGCCGCCGACGAGGCCGCCAACGTGCCCCTGCGCGTGTTGGGAGACAGGAGGACGGAGCCTGATGAACCACGTGGACCTCTGCGTCGCGCTCGACATCGTTGACTTGAAGAGGGGCGCCGCGGCCGCCGGTGGGAGGGGCTACTACCTCAGGAAGGAAGGCGCGGCGCTGAACCGCGCGCTGGCCAACTTCGGCATCGAGTTCCTGCAGCGGCGAGGCTACGAGGAGATCGACACGCCGCACATGATGACGAAAGAAGCCATGGGCAAGTGCGCGCAGCTTTCCCAGTACGACGAGGTGCTGTACAAGCTCGAGGGCGAGGGCAAGTACTTCATCGCCACGTCGGAGCAGCCTCTGGTGTACTACCACCAGGGCGAGCAGCTCCGTCCCGACCAGCTGCCGATCCGGTACGTCGGCTTCTCCACCTGCTTCCGGAAAGAAGCCGGCTCGCACGGGCGCGACACGGCCGGCATCTTCAGGACGCACGAGTTCCAGAAGGTCGAGCAGTTCTGCATCACCGCCCCGGACGGCGACGCCTCGTGGGAGATGCACGAGGAGATGATCAGGAACGCGGAGGACTTCTACACGGAGCTCGACATCGCCGGCCGCGTCGTCAACGTCGTGTCCGGCGCTCTGAACAACTCGGCGGCGAAGAAGTACGACCTCGAAGCGTGGTTCCCGGCGTCGGGGACGTACCGGGAGCTCGTGTCGTGCTCCAACTGCACGGACTACCAGGCGAGGAGGCTCGGGATCACGTATGGCCAGAGGAAGGACGGCGAGAGGTGCAACAGGTTTGTTCACACGCTCAACTCCACGCTGACCGCCACGCAGAGGACCCTGTGTTGTATCCTGGAGACGCACCAGGACTCCAGGAGGAGGGTGGTGTTCGAGTGCCCGAGGTGCTGCGACCTTCCATGTCTGGGATCGACTTCATTCCGTTCAAGAAGCCTCTGGATCGCCATGGCGGACCTGCTCGCTCCAAACCAAAGAGAAGGTCTAAACCAAAGAGGTCTAAATGAAAGAGTACTGATGAATTGGATGAGGATCGAGTCGTAAAAATGTAGCTTTTGGGGAGTGATATGTGTGTTTGGTGCGTTCTCGTGTTGGTTGTTTACGTTTCTTTCAGAATGTGTAGGTGCAGAGATTAGGCTACTTACACTCTGTCTGCGGACACTTATATTGAATTCCAATAAGAAAATCGAGTAGTTTCATCACCAGAAACACTGATTCGATCCGTTACATTCCACGGTTCTTTTACATATATGTATATAATCGTCCTATGATCTTGCACAGAAACTGGAAGCAACAAAAGTGCAGGCATTAACCGTACAGTACTCCGTATGTTCAGACTTCAGACTTCAGAGCAGGGTGCTCGATTTGTTCTTGACTGGGTGGGTTTTGGGAGGAACGAGCTGTTCTCGATTCATCTCTAAAACTGAAACAATAATGTGACCTGATACTGCAAACCTACATGAGAAATTGCCAACAAAAATCATCAGCAGACAGAGGCGCCCGCAATTAGTCGATTTGCTCGGCATGCACCACTGACGGAGCAGAGCAGCCTCTAGTGCGCGCGCGCGCCGGCAGCAGCAACCTCCTTGCGCTCACTGTCACCGTCGTCGTCGTCGTCGTCGATCCAATCCCAGTAGTGGCGCTTCACGGTGATGGCGCCGGCGCCGGCGTCCCCGTCGTCCTCGCCGGTCTCCTCGGTCTCGAACTCCCCGTCCTCGGGCACGCCGTCCACCACCTCGGCGTCGACCGCGTGGAGCACGTAGCGGGCGGGGAGGCCCGGGTAGGACGCGGACTCCCGCTCCTCCACGCGCGCGCCGTCCCCGCCGAGGATCCGGACGTGGGCGCGGGCGCCGAGCTCCTCCCGGACGGCGCGCGCCGCGGCGGCCTCGGGGGACTCGCCGGGTCGCATCTTCTCGGACAGCGGCCGCGGGCCGCGCCGCCGGACCGTGCCGTCGGAGAGCAGCTGCCGGGTCTCCACGAGCCGCGCGCCGCGGCTGTTGCGGATGCGGACCGTGGCCACGTGCACCGCGCGGACCACCCGCGGCGCCGGCGGTGGGGCGGCGTCTGTGGGGGCGTGCAGCGCGCAGTCGCCCACGGCGAGCTCCAGGAACAGGTTCGCCAGGGTCTTGGTCCCCGGCACGGCGCCCCAGGACGCAAGCGCCCCCGGAGGGAGCCGCGGCCGGAGGAACGCCGCCAGCGAGTCCAGCGTCGGGAACGCGACAGGCGGGCGCAGCGGCGACGATGGCCGCATCGGCGCGGGGTCCTCTGGGCGGTGGACGGGATCGGGCCGCGTCGCCTGCGCTGCCGCTGCTGGTGCTGGTGGTGGGGAATTCTCCATGCGGGAAGTGGAGCTGGAATTTCCTTTTTCCAATTCGCTGTGATTTTTTTTGAGGAAACGCTGGGATTAATTTTTTGGCCAGATCATCGAAGGCCCAAATGTGACTGGGCCCACTCGCCTTGGCGGCGTAATACGGATGGAACTCCGAAACTGCAGCCCGAGCCCAACAAATCGAAACGACACCCTCCGGCTGTTTACCGGTGGTTTGTAGGTTGATAAGTGTACTGGTGTGTTAGGAAAGAAAAATATTATTGATTAATTGATAAGTCCTGGCTGAAATAAAAAGCGAATATGACTTCAAGGCGCACGTCCCGATCTCTCTCTCTCGGTCTCTATAAACCTTTTCTTTTGAGAAGTTTACGTTTTGTTATGTAACTATAAAACAGAAAGCTTTAACCACCAAACTAATAAAGCTTTAACCACCGAGCAAATCTGGTTTTGCATTTCTAAAAAATAACAAAAAGATTTATCTTTTATAAATCATACTCAACTCGTGTTAAATCAAATAAATAAATACACTAATTTATTTTTTAGTGTTCTATTTGAAGTTACGTGTGTATTTTTTATAGTAATTTGTTTATTGGTGCTCTATTTGATGTTATCGGTGTACTTATTCTTTTTCTGGTTGAAAGTAGATAGATAGCCAAATTTGCTCGATATTAATAGTTCGGTTGTTAAAGACTTGTAGTTTTAGAGTTGAATGACCCAAAACAAACTATGCAAATAGTTGATAAAAATGGACTTGTCCTTTAAGTACCACCTCATTCCAATTTGTAAGTCGTTTTTGTTTTCTAAACTAGACATGTAGTTTTCACTATATAATAAGACATAACATATATCTAGAGGTTTAGTAAAAGATATGTTATCTATACTATAAAAGAACGTAGGATTTGAAAAATACATGTTACCTGGAAATTCCTACCCACCCTATGTTTTATGCCATGTTTATTTGGCTGATAAGCCATGACTGAAAGTACTGTTGGCTGATTTGCTGTGAGAAAAAAAATACTGTTCGTTGGCTGAAAAAGTACGGCTTATAAGCCAAGCGAACGGGGCGTTAACCCTTATATGTGATTTGAGATCTAGATCCAGGGCATACTAAACATCATTACCTCCTAACAAGTGGGCCACATCTTACAAAACGTAAGATTCTTACGTTCCTGCCATACAATTCCGTCGCCACTCGCTGTCTTTTTTCACTGAGACAAAAGCCTACCCCCCACACCTCCAACATCACGCACACGGGCAGACGAAGGCCCACATCTCCCATATAGTCCGATCTCTTGATCAATACATTGTCCTAACGTGATCAATCACCTTGTCCTAACGTGGCGTCAGGGTCGTCAGGTTCCTACGGCACAAAGTCAGTGCGTCCTTCCGAGCTTCCGCATACAGCACGCGTCGTGAACGCGTGTCCACCAGCAGCTTCATCTGCGGGTCCCCAGCGGCCGGTGCCGCCTTTAGTCTGTAGCTGCCGACCTATCGGACACCTACAGCTCCTTGCCTGAGACATCAGAAGATTCATTAATGCAGGTATAATTTTTTGTGTGTTGATATGATCTAATAAATAAAGATTGATTATGATCTTAAAAAAAGAATTAATATAATATGTGTTGCATGTTTATAAAATTATTATCACCTCTCTTTGAACTACAGATTTGTAGAAAGTAATCTACTCTTTCTGACCTCTCTTTCAACGACAGATTTTGAAAAAATCTACTCTTATCCGAGTTGCAAGTTGCGCTCTTTGAACTACAGATTTCTAAAAATAATCTACTCTTATCTTGCAAGTTGCAACTAAACTTCAATTGGATGTACCTCTCTTTCAACTGCCTGTTTCTAAAAAGTAATCTATTTTCCGTCTTGCAAGTTGCAACTAAATCTTAATTCCTTAAATTTTTGTCCCTTGGCTCTATAATATATTTCCAGTTTATGCATTTATCTTTAATTTTTTGTTTCACCATTGCTTTAAAATTCATTGATTGTAGTGCTCCATATTAGCAATATAAACAAGACAACATAAACCTTGTTATGGCTTCGACCACAAGACAAAATGGTAATCTGACCACAACATCAGATGGCAATGTTCAAGGTGTTATGCTATTTGTTTTTTATAAATCAGTCTATTGGGAATATTTATTTCAAAATCAATTAACATTTTCCAATATTTGTTAGAGGATGAAGTCGGCTTGGAGAATATAAATTCAATAGGATGCAAAAGGAAACGTGAAGCACAAGCTACTGATGTAATGAATTGTGATAAAGATGTTGATAGACGGGCTAGAAACCGAGAATATCAGCGTAACTATCGTGCACGGTTACAGGCTAAGGCTCATGGTAACCAAAAAAACCCTGATCCAACGGGATAATAGCGAAGCAACCAGGTTTGATTTTAAATTATGTTACTACAATACTATTATATGTTATAAATGTGTAACATAATATATTGATAATAGTGAAGCAACCAGGTTTGATTTTAAATTATGTAACTACAATACTATTATATGTTATAAATGTGTAACATAATATATTGCAATATAGGAGTTCAATTATTAAACATTTGATTTTTTTGTACTAATCCATCTTGATATTTTTATAGACACGTGCGTGTCGCACGTGCATATCTACTAGTAAAAGTCAAAAAGACTTATAATTTAAAATATATATGGAGTAATATATAGACTTTTCTTGCAAAATTTTGGGAATAAAATGTGTGAAAGATTGAGAATCGGTATGCATGAGACTAACCTTAAGGCTAACCACACCATAAAGTACCACGAAGCAGTGCCATCCGCAAATCATTATATATATACCTCCTCCGTCCAAAAAAGAAAGACGTTATGAGATGCGTGCAAGTCAAACTTTCTCAACTTTGACTAGATTTGTAAAAAATACGTGTAATATTTTTATCTCCAAATAAGTTTATTATGAAAGTACATTCAATGATCTATCTAACGATACTAATTATGTATTATAAATATTAATATTCTTTAATATATAATTGGTCAAAGTTAAAAAAAAGTTGACTTCTCGGGAAGCAAGAATAACTAATATTTTGGGACAGAGGGAGTAGAACATATGAGCTAATGAGATAGGCATTGGTATGCATAAAAATAATGAAAATTATTCCCTCCGTCCACAAAAGAATGCAATTATGGTATCCATGTCGGTCAATTCAGATTAAATTTGACCAAGTTTATAGTAAAGAGTATTAGCATTTATGTCTCTAAATAAATTTATTATGAAAAGATATTCTATAACTAGTCTAATAGTACTTGTTTTGTATCGAAAATGTTTGTATTTTTTATATAAATTCAGTCAAAGTTCAGAATGTTTGACTCCATGAAATCCGAGAATTGCGTTCTTTCGTGGACGGAGGTAGAACTAGATAAGCATTGTGGACCCAGTCAACAAAAAAAAAAACAGAGACAAGTAAAACCTTTTAAGCACCAAATTTTACTTTTTAGCTGCCAAGTATTGTGTACATTACGTATATCCTATTTCTATTTGCGACTCAAAAACACATTAGTAATGTTGGTGTACCTAAGACATTCAATCCACAAAAACTACTTACCGATCCAAAGGAATGTAGGAGGCGATGGCAGGCGGACAGCGAACGGTATGCTCAAATGTCTCAAGCAGGTTGGTGAAACAGAACCAGGGCAATTTCCTCGTAAAAAGGAAGATTGTTTTTTTTAGGAGGACCAGTTCGAAATGTTTGGATGGTCTTGTTATAAAACATGTTATCAGCGGTTAGGACATTTTCCTCTTCGTCCCTCATGATCAACATAATAGATAAAAGCAGAACATATAGACACAAGAGATAGGGAGACTATTCTTTTTTTCTCTCTTAATATTAGTGATTACAACGTAGAGTTCTCACATATATATAGTCCTACCAAGGTCTAAGAGTTTGGTAAGAGTCCATATACAAACAGACTAGGATTAGGATTCCACCTTCTCCTTTTCTTTTAGATAGAGTCCGTATGTTTTACAACACTTCTCCTTGGGCGATTGCCACGATATGCACATGCCTCATTAAAAACTCCATCCGAAAATCTAGTGGAAAAAACGGTTCTTTGATAAAAGAGTACATCGCATTCGTTAATTGCATTGCACGTGTTGTCTCGTTAAAAATTTTGTGTGAGAAACCTTTAAGTAAAAACTCACATAGGGGAAAAAAGTACAAAATTTAACCTTCTTGATCATGCATACTTCATGATATTCTATTCTTCATGAATAGATTTTTATCTTCGAGATAAATGCATAAACTTCAATGTTTTAACAAAATGATCTACTTGATCTTTGTAATTCTAGTGGTTTTAATTACCTTCAAGGTAGATTCAATTAAATTGCTCTCCCTCATAAAGCCATCCTTTGAATATCATTGTTCAAATCACACTTTTCATAAATATGTGCTTAGTAATGGTATGCAGTATCACAATACTATATCTTTTAAAATATTAGCTCGCAATTCTTCTATGAATTATAATATGAGTAAACAAGAGTAATATGCTTTATGCATAAATGACCACTTATTAGTTGTGCTAAACATATAAAATTTATCCTTCAGGATAATAAATCCTTTTAGAGGATTATGGGGGTAAATAGTTTACAATATTAAATATCTTCTAGATAGTGCATCAAACTTATATTAGAGTTTGAATACTTATAGTTCTTTTTTAGTGGATTTTTAAATTATATGTTCTACAAATCTTTGAGATTTTGATTATACCACTCAATAATAAATCCAGTCTTGTATTTGACATTTAGAGGATAATTCAATTGCAAAAATCGTCATTTTTCTTATACCTTCTACGGTATTTAGAGGATATCACCACTTCATTGCTAGCTTTCAATATGCACTTTATGAGTGTTCATACGACACCTTCATGGTGTTTAGGATTCCTCATTTTCTTTTACTCAGGTCTATATTCACTTTAGAGATTAATAGTGTTTATTCAAGAATCAACTAGTAAATCCTTCATGGATTAATTCAT